GAGGGCCTGTGGGCTCTATTCTGGCGTCTGCCTGCTCCACCTTCGTCCTCGAGGTTCGCTGAGGCCAGGCCCAAATACACACTAGCTTCCCAGCCTTCCTCTCACAGGCTTCCAGCTCCATTCCCACCTCCCAGTAACTGTTTTGCATTAGGGATCCCACCCGATGGCCAGGGAATGTTAGGGTGAGCCCCATTCAGTTTTACAGATGGAGCCCTAGAGCTGGCTCGGAAGAAAAGCCAGAAGAACATGAGAACCCCATCTCCCAGCTCCCAGTCCGGTGCTGTTTACGTGAAAGCAGCCACGTTCCTTGGGATCCTGGCCCAGGAGCTACCCTCTAAAAGAGGGTTTCCGGGCCAAATGGGTTTGTCAAAGGTGCTGCTCCTCCTTCTTGAAGAGTCACTAGCGCAGCAAAGGCGCTGAGAAGCCCTGCTGTAAAACAAGACAGAGTAGTGTTTACTGCCTCTGGGCCTGGATCAGATTTTGCCACTTTAGGGTATCTGGCGGAACGTGCAAGCGGCCCCACCCACAGGCTCTGGTCTGCTGGAAGATTCCTGGTGCTCACTCTTTCCCGGGGACTTTCTCCAGCGGAGGGAGGGCCCATCCGATGGGGAAAACAGCTGCTGCTGACAGGCCAGTGCGAGGCCCCAGGGACTGGTGGGTTCGGACGTTCCTTCACATCGTTGGGGAAACAAAGCCCAAGTTCTCCAGCTGGTTTCCCAGTCAAAAGGCACGTTACCTGTAAGAGATCCTGGCGCTGACCGCTGGTCACACTCACCGAGGGCAGAAGAAAGCTCTCTGGAGCTGGGGTGAGCAGCTGGCCCCGCCGCTGCAAGGTATGACACTTCTTGGTTTTCTGGAGGGGTCATGAGCCTGTGAATAAAAATACAGTGCTCCGCCTTTTCTAAAAGTTACCGGCTTTTATCCAGAGAGCAAGTTGGTGGGGTGCCATTAATCACCACAATGTTTGAAGAGTTGTGACTGTTCAACCTGTTTTGCTAAATCCTTCAAAGTTCTGCTCTTTGGGGAAAAAAAAAAACTCCCCTCTTTGGGCTGGAAACTAGAATAGGGGAGGCCGGAACGTGCCTTTGTGAGCACGTTTTTAAGGTTTAGGTGCAGAAGTGTTAGATTTCTCCGTTGTAGGGTTGAAGATGTGGGTGGGGTAGGCTTCTTCTGTGAGGTCCACGCTCACCACAGCACTTCCCTGGCCCTCTGTGTGCCCAGCACCGCGCAGGGCGCTTGGACCTCCTCTCTGCGTTCTCCAGCCGCCCCTGCGGAGGTGGGCTGGATGGTAGTGCCCTTGTTCCATCTGAGGAAAAGGAGTCACAGAAGGTCGGGGAACTTGAGCAGAGTCTCACGGCTGGTGGAGGGTGGAGCTAGGATGGGGACCCTGGCAGTCTGGCCTCTTCAGGACCAGGCTATACTATACAAATATACCGGGGGCGGGGGGGGGGCAAACCAATTTATTTATTTAAAAAATTGTGAAGTTTAAATTTCAGTCATCTTCAAAGTATCCTTTATTTGATGCAATGCACCTATCGAGATTTTTTTTTCCCCACTGCTCAAAGCAGTTTTTGAACGTGTCGATTTTGATGCCTTTTAGTGCTTCTGACATTTTTTGTTTCACCTCTTCCACATTGGCAAAATGTTTACCTTTGAGGGCTTTTTTTCATCTAGGGAAATTGGAAACAACAAAAAAAATGTCACTCAGGGCGAGATCTGGTGAATAGGGAGGGTGTGGCACAAGGGTCATGCTGGTTTTGGTCAAACGCTGCCAAACACTCACCACAGTGTGGGCAGGTGTGCTGGTAAATCACCCATCATGACATGGGCAAACGCGTTCAAAGAGTCTTCAAAAAAAATTCCCTGAAGCTGAATGTAGCCTCTCACAACAACGCCAGCTGGCACACTGATACGGATGGGTTCCTAGAACACTCACCTAGTGAGAAGCCTGTAGTACAAGGGGCCTGCCCTCCAGAATATAATTTTGGTTTTATTTAGGTCCCTCCTCATAGTAGCAGGGGGCCAGTAATGTTAGATACTGTTAACATGGTTATTAAAAAAATAATTTAAATTGTGGCAAGATATACTTATATTAATCATTTTTGAGTGTATAGTTCAGCGGCACTAAGTACATCCACATTGTTGTACAGCCATCACACCATCCATCTCCAGAACTTTTCTCGCAAAACTGAACTTTGCGCCCATTAAAACTGTGGTTGTCTTTGTTTGCTCTGCTCTGGGAAATCCCAGAACACCGAGCCCTTCAGTGTCTCAGTTAGGCTGGCCCACTGCTGCTGTACTCCAGGCAGGGCAACCAGTCCCTCAGCTCCCACTGCTGTGCCCGGAGCCTGGGGATGCATTTTGCTGGGATACCTGGGGGCGCCTCACCAACCCAGTGACTTTGGTTCTTCTGTTGCAGGTTTCCGTGTTGCAGGTGCCATGGAGATTCCCAGGGTTGCTTCCTTGGACGGGCAATACCATTCTGGCATGTATCAGCACAGGTTTTGCAGTGGGGAGAGGGAAGGATTGGTTTCTCATCAACACCATCCAGTTGAGGAGCCAAGATGGGTGAAGATTTGTTTTGCCTCAGCATAAGAAAAACCCTGGTTCTCTTTGTGCTGTGACTTGGACACAAGATTCCAAACACCTGGAACTGAGCCGGGTGCCTCTGTGCCCTAAACAATGGGTTTTGGCTCCAGCTTTTGTTCCTTTTCTCTTTTGTTAGACACGGTGTAAGCTACATCCTCAGCTCAGATCCAGGCCCCGGAGGATGTCTTCTGAGCGCCCCCAGCCCATGGTGCTTTGTCTGTGGTCAGGTGACCTTACTCAGGAGCAGATCTTTCCTTGGCCTTCTTGGTACCTTATTCATCCAGATGTGCCTGACACATTCCAGTGCTTACTGGCTCTTCTAGATGTGCCTTCTGCTTGGCCTCCAGCTGCTTCTCCAGATGGGAGAAGGGTATGTGAGATGGCCCTGCACCCATCCCCTCCTCCCCCTGGAGGCCCTGTGCCAGAGGAACAGCCACCTGACCTGGCCCAGAACTTTTGGATACTGGAGGCAATTTCACTGGCCTTTCTCTCTGGACTGCAGGACTGTCCAGCCCAGCCCACAGTGGGCTGCTCCCAGCGCAGAGTCTGGGATCACATGCGGACCCAGGGGAGGCTTTTTCCAGCATTCTACAGAGGCCAAAAGAAAGGATGGGCATGGGAGGGGTGATGGGTGGTATGGAGAGGGGACCAAAGTGCCTCATTTAAGAGTTAGGTGGTGATTACTAACATGCTTTTCTGAATAAAGTTTGGTCTGTATGACCTCTGTGAATGTGCCGTCTCTGCTGGCCCCAGCGGGGAGCCTCTGTGCCAGGTGCCTCAGTCTCCCTCCGTCTTCTCACTGTGCCACGCGGCTCTGCCGTCTGCCTCCCTGGTCTCCCCTTTCCTTCTTGGAGGGAAAGGAAAATGAGTTCCCAGGCCTGACCGGTGTGGCTCAGCAGGTTGGGCGTCATTCTGCAAACGAAGGATCGCCCGTTTGATTCCCACTCAGGACACATGCCTGGGTTTTGGGCCGGGTCGCCAGTGGGGGGTGTGGGAGAGGCAACTGATCAATGTTTCTCTCACACTGATGTTTCTCTTCCTCTCTTTCTCCCTTCCCCTCTCTCTGAAAACAAATAAATAAAATCTTCAAAAAAAATGAGTTCACAGATTTCCAGGGCATTTAGGGCAGGGCACAGGAACCAGATGGTGGGGGCAGGGGGAGGAACCTGCCTGTGTCTGTCCCTAACTGAAGCCAGAGGGAATCCCAGACACTTCCTTCCCAGCTTCCAATGGGCCCTCTGTTTGGGAAGTTCCATTGCCTGATGGTCAGACACAGAATGACCGTGGTCACGGAGCCAGAAGGGCCCTGCTGTTCAACCCCATCATTTCGTGGCAGGGAAGACAACCCCCGGGTGGAGTGGCAACAGAGCGGGGGAGTGGCAGAAGGGGGTCCTCTGGAGCCCAGGCTCTGGGTCTCTTCTGCAGAGCACTGAGCCTGCTCTGGGGTTGGCTCCAGGACACACCCCACCCGGCTTCCCCCTGCTTCTAGCCACAGCCTGCTGATGAAGGACCTGGAAAAGGTGGGAGGGGAGTTAATAGATGTCCTTGCTGGCTCCTCCCTCCTGTGGCCTGGGCCTGAAGCCTGCAGCCCGGACAGAGGATTCTACCGACAGATCTCAAAACCCACTTTAAACAGCTGCAGGCAGGAATCCGAGGCTGTGTGTGCTCCACACCCACTCTCTTCCCCAAACACGCACACACGCATGCACCCCCCACTCCTCTTCATGCTTTGGATTTTCAGGGTGGAGGAAAATGCCGCCAGCTGCCGAACACCTCCCTTACTCCCTTTTTCTCTCCGCGTCTATTCATGAATTTCACTCAAAATGAAAAGTGGCCTCCCTTTGTGCAGAGGCTAGTAAGTCCCTGGCCCTACTTCAGCTCAGTGGAATATTTTGCAGTTGGAAATGTGTTTCTACTTGTACTACCTTGTATGGTCTTGTCAGCAGTCTCAGAGGTTGGCATTGACATTCCCCATTCAATGGGGAAGGTGGAGCTCCGGAGAGAAGGGCCTTATTCATGGCCACACAGGCAGTAGCAGGACTGGGAATGGAAGGTAGATGTTCTCTCACTGCCCTCTGCTGCCGGTTGCTCACCCCTGTGGCCTCTGTGAAGTTAAGGTGGAGTTTGGTTTTCCCACCTGGAGAGCAAGTGTTCAGGAATGGTCTAATCTGACATTTCCTGTTTCATGCTGGGGGCTCGTGGAAGTAAGCTCCTCCTCCTCTGGGACATGCTTGAGCCCATTCTAGTCTGGGGAATCCAAATGATTTGCTCATTTATGTCTAGTACTTTTCCTGCTTTTCCAGGGGTGGGTGTGGGGTGGTCGATGGTGAGAAAGGAGAGCTCTAACACTAATAGACATTATTAGTGTATTCAGGGAGACGAGGAAAGGGCAGGGATGCAATAGAGAAAGGTCCAGTTAACACTACATTTTTATCATTTTGTTTTGTTATAGCAGTTGTATGTAAAATAAATGCCAGTATGTGTCCATTAAAATAGAATAGCAATACATGCTCATTAAAAAAATAAACTGTTCAGAAGTGTACAAAGTGAAAAGAGAAGGCACTTGATCATCCTAATTTCATGCTCTAGAGACAAACCACTGTTAACCATGAACTCTCCTTCCTTAATTTTTATAACTAGTTAAATGTGCGTGGATGTGCACACACATTTGTGTATGTGTATTCAAACTCTTCTACCACTTGCTCCTTACTATGAAGAATGATATAGTTCTGACCCTGTCTACGTGTTAGATAAATGTAATGATGTAGTTTACCCTTTCTAAATGTCCATATGAATTATGTGGGGCTGCACGAATTTTGTGGCTTTTCTGGAACCATTCTACCTTTCTCGCATTGGTTGACTTTGTTACTTCCTTGGCTCTTTCTACTCCCACACAGCCAGGAGAAAGGGAGGGACTGCTGGGCGGTCATATCCACTTCGTAGTCTTGAGGAGTAGAGTTAGTGGCGGCAGCTGGAAAGAGGGGAGGAGAGCTGGAGACCTCAGGGCCCTGTGGGGCAAAAGACAGGGATGCTGGTGAGGTAGCCAGAATCCAAGGAGAGTACCTGGGCATAGCCAGCAAGAGGGTATAAACGACCACACCAACCTCATCAGCCTGTGGAAACTACAGTCTGGTTTCTCATCTGAAAGCCCCTTTGTCCTCCCTGTTCCATGATCCTTCCTTTGAATTGGGTGGCTATTTGGAATCTTGCAGGCACCAGGGCTGTGAGGTTCCTTCCCCAGCAGGGAGGTGAGGGAGAGAAAGTTCCCAGAGGCAGCCCCTCTAGCTTCATACCTGTCTCCCCCTCCGGCAGGACACTGGTTCTCCTTACTGCTGTCCTCAGGAGGTGCTCTGACATCCTGGCCGACAGCTCTTCTGAGTCAAGGTCGGGAAGAGGGGAGAAAGGGAATCAACCTCATGAGTGTCTGCAGTGAGCCAAGAACGTGTTGAATACTTCATGTGGCATCTCTGATTCTCCACACAAGCCTCTGGAGTATTAAATACCCGCATTTAACTGACGTGGGGAGACAGGCTCGGGCATGGATCTGCCCAGGACACTTGACTGCAGAAACGAGATTTAAACTCAGATCTCTGTTATTCATGCCACGCTGTTTCTGAGGATTTCTCAGCAGACAAACTGTTTCTCCCAGCCATCCAAAGACTCCACCCAGATCTATGCTAGGCTTTGTAATAGTTATAGCTTGAGCTAAGGCAACAACAGAAGACTGTAGAGAAAGCTATTACAAATCTGAATTATGTCAGCTTCTTTCTTCCCAGTTTGTAGTGAAATTGGACAGTTATCTTTGTTTCATCAGCCCACTGTGCTGAGGTTATTCTCCTGGGCCCTGGAGACAGTCCCCCTCCCCCTGTCTGGTGTTAGAAGGGTGTGTAGGACTACCCCTCCCCCCAGCACTCCTCCCTCTCAAGGCCCGGTGCTGTAGGTATGGCCACCTGAGTTGACCTGAACTTTTGGACACGGAACCTCTCAGCCTGTTGCAATCTTGCCCTGTGCTCTGCTGTCTCCTTCTGTGCCCCCTGGGCAGTTAGCGTGACTGGCTCTCATTGTTAGGTGAGCTCAGCCTGCTACTTCACAGGTCAGCCTAGTCTCTTTCTTGTTGTCTGGTGGCCTTAAGCAACTTTCTGAAGCTCTTTGCATCTCAGCTTCTTCACACACTAAATGGGGACAACACTGTACCTGCCTCGCTGGGCGGTTGAAAGGGCGTAAGGAGGTCATGGGCCTAGAGCAGAGTGCCTGGCAGTCAGCCAGTGCAGAGAGACCAGCTCTCAGCAGCACAGCCTGCTGGGAGCACTTTGTACCTCAGGCAGTGGTTGTGAAATGCGAGCCTGAGCCACAGTAAGTGCTCATAGTTGTTCGTTCCCTGCTCTCCCACTCTGCCCTGGCTCTCCCCCTACCTGAGGAGTGGCAGTCTCACCGCGGATTGATCCCTCTACTGTTCTGTCGTGTGTCCGGATTTGAGCTCTCTTGAAAACGTGGCCTAGAAGTGTTAAAAATTATTGTTACCTACCTGAAGGTCGAGACTTTTTCTCTACAGACTCCGAGGTCCTTCTTCAGGCTCCTTTTTCTTCCCTCTTGCGGCCCCCCGGGGCGATGCCTCTGGGCTCCAGGCAGCTCTGCCTCCTCTCAGCCTGGGGGGACTCCCTGTGCTCTGTTCCCTGGGCAGCCAGTCCGTCTGGAGAGGTGAACCGGCCCGAAGTTCTCAGGCGTCAGCAGTGGCACCTTCGCAGTCTCCCCTCATTCTGTGTTTGTAGGCTCTTTTATGATTGTATCCAAGTAAAAATGTGTTCAGGCACGGGGGGCATTTACAGGAACAGCTGTGTGCTTAGCTCCTGACCTAACTGTTGCGTATCTGGGCATTTCACAACATGTCTTTCCTCACTTCCCTGGTAGACCGTGTTGTACGTATCAGCCTTCTCCTCCCAGTTGTCCCTGGGAACTAGTGATCCTGCTGGGTTTGTTTTTTCCTTTAAGTTAAATTGATGAACTGCCTCAGTGATGGTAACGTAGGCTGCCAGAAGACCAAGGTGGTGGGGTCTTTTCGTAGTGACTGTGATAGTGATGATAATAATGACTAAATTATTGTTGATAGTGGCATTAATAGTAATAAAGATGACACAATGCCCCTACCTCCTGTATTTGCAGCTTGCAAAATATTTTTTATATTCATTATTTATGTTATCCTCATAGGAACAGATAACACAGTGTACATAACGTAGATGAGTTTCGGGAAGGTGAAGTGGTTGCCTAGATAGTCCTTGTTTTTAAACAAACAGTTGTTAGGGTGCACTCGATGTATGTTAAATGCACAGAGTTTAAACTCACACTTTGACGAGCTTTGACATGTGCATACACTAGTAGAGCTGTCGCCACAGTTAGGACAGTGAACATGTCTGCAATACCCCAGAGCTTCCTTGTGCCCCTTCGTGAGTTCTCTCCTTTCCCCTGTCATCTTCCCACCCCAGGCAGCCACTAATCTTCCTCCTGTGGCTGTAGATTAGTCTGTATAAGTGGAATGTACTGCATGTGTTTTTCCCCCCAGGGAAGTGGGTAGTGTCTATCCTCCTTTTACTTAATTATTTTGAGATCCGTTCGTGATATTTTGGTGACAATAGTTTATCCATTTTTATCATTGAGTATTATTCCATTGTATGCATGTACTATACTTTTTAAAAAGACCTTATTTACTTTTAGAGAGAGGAGCAAAGGAGAAAGAGAGGGAGAGAAACATCAATGTGCAAGAGAAACATCAATCAGTTGCCTCTCACTCGCTCCCAACCAGGGGCCTGGCCCGCAACCCAGGCACGTGACCTGACCAGGAATCAAATTGTCAAGCCTTCAGTCGCAGGCTGGCGCTCAGTCTGCTGAGCCACACCAGCGAGGGCATATTGTAATTTGTTTATCCATTCACCATTGATGGACATTGTATTGTTTCAGGTTGTTGGTGTTTTGCAAATAAACCTGCTATGAACATGCATGTACAAGTCTCTGTGTGGACGTGTGCTCTCATTTCTCCTGGGTAAATGCCTAGTAGAGGAATGGCTCAGTTGCACGGTAGGCGTGCTCTTTTTATTGTCTTTAAACTGGCTATGGTCCAGATGAAATTTCTTTCTGTGTGTGTGTGTGTGTGTGTGCTCTTGCCCAGGATTTGTATCAGGGATGGTAATTCTGGACTCATAGAATTAATTGGAAGTTTTTCTATTTTGTTCTATTCTTTGGAATAGATTAATTATATAATTTTATTGATGGATTTGATAAAAATTTGTTCCCCAAATAATCTGGGCCTGAAGCTTTTTAGGAAGTTTGTTGTTAATTCTTTCCATTTCTTCAGGGGTAATTTGTCTATTCATTTTTTTTTTGTGGGTTACCTACTGTCCTTCCACTGGTGGCACATTTATTCAAGTTTTTTTTCCCATTAGTTCTCTCATCTAGTTCTCCAAATTAGAATTAGAACCTTTCTTGGAAAGAATTCCAGAAATCACCTCTATATTTCTATGAAAGGCATATAATAAATAGTCATTTAGTGGAATGAATAAAATTGATGTTTAGCTGCTACAGCAGATACACCCCAACTTTTCAGCAGCTTAGTATAAGAAAAATCCATTTTTGTTCGCATACAATCTGCTTCTCCCTTGCCTGACTGTGCATTGTGTGTTTCAGGTTAGTGGAAGGCTTTCCATTGCGTGATGTCTCAGGGACTCGGGCTGCTTTGACTCTGTAGTCCAGCCACCCCCTCTGCGCTGAGCTGCCATTTTGGAGAAGGGTGAGAGGAGCAGATTTCTAATTTTTAATGCCTTGTTCCAGAAGTGACATCACTTCCACTCATTTCTTTTGGAGGGTCACATGACCCGATCTATAGGCAGTGGGTGGGGGGATGCTGGGCAATGTAGTTTCTGGCTGGACATCTGCTACCCAGCTACATCTTTATACCATGGAAGGGGAAACAGGACTTTCTGGTAGACAGCTAACTCTCTTTTATGGGAGGCCACAAGGTTTTCATTGCCTTGCTCTGCATGACTTTTTTCTCTGCCCGATGTTTGATGAATGGTTGTTTTCATGGCTGCCAAGAGCTGTTGAGTAAGAATGTAACTGCAGGCATTCATTTCCTTGCTGTGTTTGTCGGACAACTCGGTGTCTCACAGCTGGGAAACTCATTACTCATGAGTACTTCTTTTCCAGGTACAAGAACATAGAGCTGTATTTACTGAACACTTTTCAGAGCAAAGGCAGTGAGCTATTTAATCTCCAAATATACTCAAACACTAAGTTCAAACACTAGAAAAAAATCCAGATATTAAAGAGGATCTAAAAACACATAACAGTCAAGTATTTCTTTCACTAATCATTTATTTTAAAAATTGAACATAATTCATGTAAACATAAAATTTAACACAGCATAAGCATAAACACTCTCAGGTTTAAAATGTACAATTGAATGGTTTTAGTGTATTCACAAAGCTGTGCAACTGTACGACTGTGCCATCCCAGAAAATTTCCACCAACCCACAAAGAACGCCTGTATGGCTGAGCAATCACTCCCATCCTTCCCTCCCGCCAGACCCCGGCAGCCACTAGTCTGCTTCTGCCTCTATAGATTTGCCCATTCTGGACATTCATTTCATGTGACTGGAGTCACACAGTATGTGGCCTTGTGTCTGCTTTCTTTCACACAGCATAATGTTTCCAGAGTTCATCCATGGCGTGGCGCGCCGCAATACTTTGCTTTTTTATGGTGAATAATATTCCACTGAATAGATATATTACACTTCGTTTATCCATCCTTCTCTTATTTAAAAAACTTAATTGTGGCAAAATTTGCTGTCTTGGACCATTTTTTAAGCACACAGCTCATTGGTATTAAGTATGTTTACATTATTTTGCAACCATTACCATTGTCCACTGCCGAAACCCTTCTCATCTTGCAAAACTGAAGCTCTGTCCCCTTAAACACTAGCTCCCCATTCCCCCTCCCTCTAGGCCCTGGCAATCATTAACTTTCTGTCTCCGTGAATTTGACTAGTCTAGGTAACTCATGAAAGCAAAGTCATACAATATTTGTCTTCTTGTGACTGGCTTATTTCATTTACAGTTAATATCCTCAAGTTTCATTCATGGTGTAGCATGTGTCAGAATTTACTAACTTTTTAAGGCTGACTAATAAGAGTACATTGTACATAGGTACATACCACATTTTGTTAATCCATTCATTTATTAATGGAAACTTGCGTTGCTTCCTCCCTTTGGCTGTTGTGAATAATGCTGCCATGAACACAGGTGTGCAAATATACCTTCCAGGCCCTGCTTTCAATTCGTTTGTGTGTACACCCAGAGGCGGCATTGCAAGATCACATGGTAATGTTTATTTTTAATTAATATGTTTAATTTTTTTAGGAACTGCCATATTGTTTCTGTAGAGGCTGCATCATTTACATTCCCACCAACAGTGCACAAGGGTTCCAGTTTCTCCCCATCCCTCACCAACATTTGTTATTTGATGATTCACCCATTTATTTTAAAGCAAGCATTCACTGAGTACCCACTACGCCAAGGCTCTATACTTGGCAGAAACTGAGGCTGCCAAGATGTTAAGTCTCAGTCTCCCTGCTCTCAGGAACTCAGAGTACAGTGGGGGAAACGATCACATTCAAGAGAGAGATTTACATGGGCAGTTACATGGGAGGTGGCAGGATATCTCAGCTGGTTAGAGAGCTCCCCATATGTCAAAGCTGGAAGTTTGATCCCTGATCCGGGCACGTATAAGAATCAAGCAGTGAGTGCATAAATAAGTGGAGGAGTTAGTTGGGGTAGGCCTCACAAAGCCCCGACATTCAAGCTGGATATTAACAGGTGAGCGGGAGGAGGTCAGGTGGAAGGGAAGGGTATTCTAAGCCTGCAGGGTAGCCCCAGGTAGTCATGCTCTTTTGTATACTCCTCCCATCATGCAATGGGACAGTGGATGGGTCTGACTCATGAAACCAATAGGATCTTGTGAAAATGACAGTGTGACTTCTGAGGATGTATCATAGAAGACCTGTGGCTGCCTGCCTTGCACCCTCTTGGACCTCTCGCTTTGGGGGAGGTCAACCACCATGGCATGAAGTCCCTCCAGATGCCTTCTGGAGAGTCCTAAGGGAGAAGGAACTAAAACCTCTTGCCCTCCAGTCAGCATGAGAGCACCAACAGCCGCTCGTCTGCCCTGTGAGGAGGCCATCATGGAGGACAGATCGCAGCCCTTCCAGACGTCTGACCCAACTGCCTGAAGTCCCTGAGCCAAAACTGCCCACCAAATCGCTCGTGATTTCCTGACCAAAACCACCCAAAAGCCAAAACTCAGTGTGAGATAATATATATTTATTATTGTGTGAAGCCACTAAATTTTGAAATAAGTTTGACACAGCAAGTGGTGACTTATACAGCGAAAGCGTTAAAAGATCTGGTACTTGGGCAATACCTCGGAGATGTTTAAGGTTTAGTCCCAGACCACTGCAATAAAGTGGGCTGTAATGTTTTTGCCAGTGGAGGGTCTTGCTTTCCATTTATTAAAAAAAATCTGTTAAGCGCAATAAAGCTAAGCATAATGGTATGCCTGTACTGTGAAATGTTGTGAGAGACGGACCACAGCCAGGGGCTCGGAGTTTAGAGCTGCTTTTGAAACGCCAAGTCTGTGTAAGAGTGCGCAAGGGAGCCATCTGGTGGAGGAAGGTGTGCTTAGCTATTCCCTTCGCTTCCCACTCCTTTTTCTCTAGCTTGTTTTACCCAGTGTTTCCTTCTAGAATTTCTCCAAGAGCCACAGTGAGGTTTATGGTCAATATGTGGGCCGTGTACACTGTCACTTATAGATAT